TTGCTTACTTCAGTTTTGACTGTAAGGGCCTCATTAATTAACTTCTTCATGTTATTGGCAGCTCCCCTTCTAAATTCTGTATTACTGTGTCAGTTTTTGTACTTTGCCTTTCCCTAGGATGTTTAACATAATTACATTGTGGTCACTGAAGCTTACACAGCAAAAGCTGTGCCTTCCCAAGTTATCCAGTTAGTGTTTAGAACACTAATGAAAACATCATAGTGTGCCTTTCAGGGCATATAGTACAAGCCCAACACAGGGCTATGTACTTAGCTAGCTAGCCCACTCTGAATCCAATAATGCACTCTTCACTCTTGGAGTCAAGTTAGCTTAGGTAGTCTATTCTGTGCATAGCTTTTGCTAGGGAGACCTACTTGCACTAACATTGGTTGAGCTAGTGGGCTAAAAATATGAGCTAGCTGGTCTGAATACAATCCCATCCAGAACTCTAGGTACTTAGGGTGAATAGATAGCTCACTCCACCACCCATAGCACTGTAGCTGTGTGATGTGCTGTCCCATGTAATGACACTGAGATGAGAGAGAGAGACATACAGACAGAGAGAAAATGAATTTCATCTACAGCCTTAGCTGAGAGCCCACTGGCTTTTAGTTCAAGCTGTAGAGTCTCATGCACTAAGCTCCAGGTTCAGTTCTGCCTGTCAGCCATTACATAGCTACTCTCTTATTGTTAGCATGCTTGCTCAATCAAAGCAGCATGGGTCTGTTCCCCTGAGCTGGAAATGACACCTTCTGCTCAGGTATAGACATGCCCTATGATGAGAATAGCCTCTCCATTGGTGTGTTAACTGTTTCAAAACACAACCACTTAAGTATCATTAGAATCACTGCAGTGCTTCATTGTACCTACTCACTACAGTGATGGGAGGGGTTTCCCTGATGGCATAGTTAATATACCTACTCAGGAAGTGGTAGGTAGCTTAGTTGACAGAAGGATTCCTCTGTCAACCTAGTTGTTGTCTATGTCAGTGGGTTGTGTCAGCTTAACTACATCACTCAGAAGTGTGGGTTTTTCTCACCTTAAGCAACATGGTTGAGTTGACCTAGCTTTTGTAGTTTAGATCTGGCACTGGCATATTATGAAATTATTTTTCTAAATGTTGGCCCACTATGCCATTTGACCCATTTGTATGTAGCTAGCCGAATTCCCCCATTATCATTTTGTAGGGTCTTATGTGGTTCTGATGCACCTTAGTTTCATTTGGCTAGATCCCTTTTTCATTATTGGTACTCAGTCTATGTTAGTGGTGGACAACTTCAGCCTCTGGGTCACACACAGCTCATCAGGGTAAGCTGCTGGCAGGCTGCCAGACAGGTTGTTTATTGCATCTGCAGGTCCTGCTCTTTGCAGGTTTTGTTGTCTGGGGAGGGTAAACCACAGCCCATGAGAGCTGTGGGAAGTGGAAGCCAACAAGTAATTCATTTCTGCTTATACTCCTCTAATTTAAAATAATAAATAGGCTGAGGGAGGCCACTTCCTTATGTGCATGGGTAGGAAGAAAAGTTTAGCCTGATTAAATTCCAGTGAGAGAGAGAAAGAAAGATTTTAAACAGTGTTGATCATTATGTGAGAACCATGCCAAATATTAATAGGCCAGTGCAATAGAATTGCAGAGTTCCTACTTTATCTTTCATACAAACCCTATTCCAAAATTCTTTAAAAAGTTAAATAATGGAAGTCAGTGTGAATTAGAAGTTTATGCAAGGGAGAAAAAAAGTAAGTTTTCAATGGAAATGGAAATGTAGGTTCTCTCTGTAACAGAGAATTGTTTCTGTACTTTTGTGCACCTACTGTTTTTTTCCCGAGGGAAAGTGGAATATCAGCTATGGAACATAAGGCAGAAGGCCATAGCTACTAGGAACGTTTAAATATCAGTGCATTAAATACAACCTGTATTGCTGCTGCTCTGTTTTTTAAAACATTTTTAAAGAACTTTAAAAGAGAAAATATGTCCCTGTGTGAGAATGCATATTGCTACCTAGGATCTGCCAGCATATGGACTCAAGGGTTGTTCCTCCTCTTCCTTTGAAATACTGCCAACCTCACGTATTCAAAAATCATGAGTTAAGCCCTAAAATACCATGAGTTTCATTTTTAAATACGTAATAAATCTGGGTTCTTTTCATTTGCCTTCTGGTTTCTGAACCTTTAGGGTGCTTCTCATATTCAAGCTTTTTTTTTGCAATCATTAGGGCTACAAACCTATATTTTTCAAAGGAAAGCTAAAATCCTCATGTAGCTTTTCGATTGAAGCAGCTGGAGTTTTGAGAAAATATCAAATATGATAAGGTTTGTGATTATATTATGAGAGCTGGCAATGCTTCTGTTGTTACTGGACACAGCTCCAATAAAGATGAGTAAGATCTAGATGTATGTAACAAACTCTGCTAGTTATCCTGTTGTAGCAGCCCTTTGCTCTGGCTCAGTGGTCTATTGTCAGTCTCCATAGGTCTTAAACAGTTCATGTGTTTCCTGGAATCAAAATCATGATTGTGTCTGTGCAGAGACAAGTGAGAAAATAGCTCAGCTGTGATGCAGCAAGGATGTCTATTCTTTTCTATATTTTCTTACACGGCACTTACCACCTTAGTATCTAAGAACCTGCTATCAATGCATTAAGCAATATGACTAGAAGTCTGTCACTTGTTCTTTGTTGTCTCGTTGCTATGTGATTATGAGAAGGAAACATCAAAGAAATGCACCTTGAAATTGGAGCAGAAAACAGTGAGGTTTGTGGTGATCCTTAGTTTTGGGAAAGTACATTCCACAGTCTTGGACCAGGCTCCAGAGAAATCTATCTGCTGTTCAGATGAGCATTGCTGTTACTGTTGGGAATTTCATTGTGCCAGAGGTTATGTAGTTGTAAAACAGTCTTTTGTCCCAGAGCTTTGGATGGTCTTCTCAATATCATGGGCACTAGCCGTTAGGAATGTTAAAAGTATGGTAACCATGAAAATGTCAGCAGTTACACAGTTGCCCATACTGCGGACACTGTAATATAATGCAGCTTCATTTTGCAACCAGCTTCAATATCAGCAAGACTGACGCTCTCTTTCAGAAGAAGTTTTTCCGGAAGATCTCTTCCAGAAGAGCTTCTTCCGAAAGAAGCCTGCAGTCTAGACATAGCATCTCTCTCTCTCTTTCTCTCTCTCCCTCTCGGAACAAGTGGGTTTTATATCGTTCTAAGAAATAAAGTAGTTTTATGTTAAACCTGCCCCACAGAATATTTCTTTTTATCTAGCTCTTCTGTGTATATGTTGTACAGGCAGTCCCCGAGTTACGCGGATCCGACTTATGTCGGATCCGCAGTTACAAACGGGGCCCTTCCTCTCCCTGGTCTCCAGCAGACCAGGGAGAGGAAGCAAAGCGGCGGAACATGCGGGCAGCAGACAGGGCTGTCCGCTGCCCACGTGCTCCGTGGCTTGGCTCTGCTTTGCCCCCCCGTCCCCCTGGTCTGCAGACCAGGGGGATAACTGTCACCTCATTAAAGTCAGTGGCAGGCACATAAGACA